GCGTCCGGCCGCATCCCGGAACGGCCGCCTCGTTTTGGAGCTCCGGCACCACCGGCGCCACGATCGCGCCGCCGACGGCCTCCGGCTCGCCGTCTGTAACCAATGACGTCTGACAACATCGTTGTCGTCCCGCCTTTGGTCTTAGGAGGCAAGAACAAAACCAAGATACTGGACTACAGCTGCACGTTGCTCACCAGCCACGACCTCTGTTCGCCTGGCTGCCGCGACTTCTTCCATATTCTGCTCATCTACAACCACCACTGCGGCGGTGGGCTGTCCACGGTGCTCCGGTGCTACTCCTCGGACACGGGTCGCTGGGGACCGGAGACTAAATCCATTGTCAAGATACCTAGTTCCAAGATCAGCAACATCGGCCCCGCCGTGGTACACCGCGGGGTGGCATACTTGGCTCTCGAGCAGGGCGTGTTCGGGGTGCGCCTGGATCGGATTGAGGAGGACCATACAGTGGACATGCACCTCGTGCCGTGTGACACCTCAAAACTTAGCCCAAACAACCGCCTGATGGGCGTCTCATCGGACAATCGGCTTTTCTTGATGTATTGTTGTTTCAGGGCAATCCCAAAAATAAAATTGTGGAAAAAGCTCGTGCTGAAGCTAACCTATCTCGAGTTTGCACAAGAAGACGACATCCACACAGGTAAGATATCTACAATTCGTGAAATTTTGTCGATGAAGCAGATTGGGAAGCAGATGGAGGTGGCATACTACCCCACTGTGATCAAGCTGCGATGGTTTGGCGAGAAGAGTGGGATCTTGTTGTTCACCATGGGAGAGCGTAGCGGGCACAATGGCACCTATATGATGAACCTTCGGGAAGAAATGGTTGACAAGGTGGCGGATGATGGGCACTCGTGGAAGAACTTGCTCGGGTATGAGATGGATATGGCGGCCTACCTTGCCTCCGTCGGCCAGAGATCCTTCACTTGAGTGAGCATACCATGCCACATGTGTGCCCTCCCGTGCGGCGCCTTGTAGCCAGAACAGAGCAACTCCTCCGTTATCTATTTTGTTTCAATTTTGTGTTTGCTTGTTTCGGTCTTAAAACGTATTTTGGCTTGCCACTGATCTTTTAACAACTACAGTATTAATAGTGCCGATATCATGTAAACAGAAGTTTTGTGGTGTTAACCCAAAGCAAAGATCCTTGCAGCTTTCGCATAGAACCGTGCAAATGTACACCAGAGTTCTTATTTGAATTTTTGGTACCTTGCAGCTCACTCGGTTCAAAACAGTGACCGAATATTGATCAACATTGCTAAAGAAATCTATGTACAACAACTGAGCTCTTTGTTGTGATCTCCCATCGTCAAAGATCTTGATATTGACATATATCGCCTGCTGGTGCCGTGGGTGTTGTCCAGGACATTTCCGTGGCCCTCGATGTCGCCTCACTTCTCAGTACCAGGATCTCCCCGCAGCATCCTTCTTGAGGCGTTGATTCTGCCGCTGCCCATATAGGTTTTTTATAGAAGAGGAAAGAGAAGATAGCCTACAGGTCTGATTATTAGATCCAATAATTTTTGTGATATATTTCTAAGAATAACTGCCACTATTTTTCTACTATATGTATGGATCTTAATTTCTGCTACACAATATATGTTCTCATGCAATCTGAATGCTATACATATGACACTAACATGTTGAAGTCATATACTCCAGAAGAACGAAAAGCTGCCCTTTCATTCAGGCTCTACATTAATTAGCAATCTGCAGTGTAGTAACATCTTTGGATAATTACTTATATATGAAATCTATCATATTATTTATTCAGATTGTTGTTTTATTTGATGTGTGGATGTTACTCCGAAAATCGACGACAAATTCCGGCCGCAACGTCATCATCCAGTTACCTTTTTCTTTTGAAAAGGAGGGTGTACCCCCGGCCTCTGCATCTGAACGATGCATGCAACCACATTATTAATTATTCACAAAGACCATACAAAGGGATACATCAATAAGTCTGAGGCCACCATCTTGGCAACACTGTTGCTACTCCTATCCCTTTGATGAAGGTGTGCCGAATGCCCGGGTCTAATACCAAACAAACATCGCACCAAAACATCTAAAGCCGGGTGTCCCATCCAAGCCACTACCTGTATTGGGTCCCGCACGGGACCGGCACACTCCTAGTGAGCACCGCACGCTGCAAGGGCCGTCACCTCCATCTTCCATCGGTCCATCCTCTGAGCAGAACTGATGCATCGACCTTGCCAGACCACTCTGCCATCAACTCCACCTTGATGCCAGACAGCTTCCTCCTCCTGCGTGAGTCCATCTCCGCGCATCAGACGTCGAGTCTCCACTGCGCCATGCTGCCGAGACCCACCGTCGACGATACGGTTGATGCCACACCGCTCCACCTACAGGCCATCTCGCGTCAACTCCGAACTACCAGCAACTCCACCATCCTGAGCAGTCCCCGGTCGACGCCTTCAGAAAGAAACACGACGCCAAAGTACCATCGTCTTCCAAATAGAGGAACCGAGGCTTTCGCCTGTGCTCATGGCAGAGGTGGAGGGCGTAGGATGCACACCGAAGCATCCAAGAAGGGAATCGGCGCCGAGGGCGTCGACTTTGGTGCGGCCGTGGTGACAGGGCTCATGTTCGATTCTGAATTTCAAATGGGAAGATCCTCTCCTCTCCTCTGCTCCTGACAAGATATCTTTCTCCACCCATCTTCCTGGTCGGACGAGGAAGATACTAGTCTCTTCATCTGGGGATCCTCTGATTAGCTTTCAAATGCACCGTGAACAGGTAAGAATGTACAGCATGAGCGCCTGAACTCAGAGATGCGCCAAGTGCGTCGTCCTCAGCTTCACATCTTCAAAGGTCAGAGGAGAGGTAGCAGATTGGGCGAGCTTGGTGATGTGGAGCTCCCTTTATAACGAAACCACGACTAAACTCGGCACCTGTTCATTCAGACATACAGTAGTAACGAAACACACTTCACCGAACTCAACAGACGCATGTCGTGGTTCACTATACAATACACTATGGACCTCGGAGTGTTTCAAAATCAGAGCCCACCTCGGTTTCCCAGATGCCTAACTAGTAACTAAGCACCTGATGATCTGACGAGGAGCCTAGTTAAGCAGAGCCATGGAACTTTTGGTTCTTAACCGGCTCGTGGGCTTTCATCAGCAGCAAGGATCAAACTAATGGAGTACCATGTTTAGCTATCCACCAAAAACAAAATGGCCAAAAACCCTAGTAATCGCGGAGGGCAGTGGCGATTCCTCTGAACGGGAAAAAAGAGCAAGAAAATGGCCAAAAAATTTGTGTTCTGCGGCCTATCCTCCAAAAGTATGAGCTCTCCGTTTCAAAAAAAAAAAAAAGTATGAGCTTTGGGTAGTGGTAAATTTTTTTCCTTCACTGTGTTTTGCGCAAGTGGGCGTGGAATGATTGAGGTGCACTATTTTCTTTCGCACATGTGGACATTGCATGATTGAGATGCTCTGGGTCTGCACATGCGTAATTTTTCTATATCAACCCTGCCTTTTTCTCTAATTTAGTTTCATTCCACTTAATTTGGCGTACGTCAGTTGCACAATGTTCGTGCGTGCAAGCTGGACGCTGTGGGATCTTGGACTGAAGAAACTAGCAGAGTAGACAGGCTTTGTTCGGAAATATGAGTGAGTTGGAGGACGTAAACAGATTGAGCCATCCATCCGCGCTGCTGCTGCACCTACGTCGGCTGCTCTTCTTCCATCTCCCCGTTGAACGCCTGCTGCTGCTTCATTGCTTCACCTGCCTGCTCAGGTTTGTGTCCCTGTCTCTAGTTCAGTCGTCGGCTTCTAGTAGTTTTATAATTTGACCGGCTCTTGGGATCTTTCATACTTTATATATTCTCACTGGTTAGTTTATTATCATTTCACTGGCTTTGGATCTTGTGGTGGATCCGTATTTCACTGTCTTTGGATCTCAAAGGTGGATCTGGAGTTTATATTTCCTTTGGGAAAAAGGGATCTGGATCTAGGGGACGGTGCTACCTCAAGTTAATTAACTCTGGATTTCCCATCACTTCAGGTGGATCTAAAGCAGGCCTCCCAAGAGGAGCACCCACGGCGCTACTCTGCTTCTTTCTGGAGCAATGGCTACAATAGAAGCTGCTTCTTTCAGCTGATTACTCTTACAGCTCAGGTGCAGATTCTTACCGCATTATGCTTTTACTCAGAAAACCATTGGAAATAAAATCCTGTTGAAATCTCTGCCCCCATTTGTTTCCTGGCCTTTTTGCTGCAAATTCCTTTCATTCAGCAAGCTGTTTGAACATTTCAGGTGCAAAACTAGAGAATCAAAGATACATACTTTTCCATCCATGCATCCGTCGAAAGCCTGCTGCTGCTTCGTTGCTTCACACACCTGAATTCTCAGGTTTGTCTCCCTCTCCCTGTCTCCACTTCACTAGTTTTATAATTTGCTCGTCTTCAGATGTTTATATTTTATTCCCTCTGCAGGTTAGTTATATATAAGTCGTAGACTCGTAGTATAATTTGACTGGCTTTGTATAATTTGTGCGGATCTGGAGTTTACTGTGCCTTTGGATCTCGGGGTGGATCTGCATTCTTTTTTGTATTTCGAAGAGAGGGTGGATATAGAGGACAACCACTGAATTTAATTAACTCTGTATCTTTCGAACGGTGCATCATTTATTTCAGGTGGATCTAAGCAGGCCTCCAAGAGGAGCTTGTGGGATGGCCGCAATGGAAACTGTTTTAGTCACTACAAGCTACCCTTTCGGTTAATCACTCTTCCAGCACAGGTACAGATTGTTATAGCATTATGCCCATTTACTATGAAAATTGTTGGAAATAAAAAAATATATGTTGTTATGGTATGGACGGACTGTTGAAGTCTCTGCCCCCATTTGTTTCTTGGCCTTTTTGGTACAGAAGAAACCTACCTCCTTCGTTCAGCAGGTTGTTTAAATGTTTCAGGTGCAGCACAAGCATACCTAGAGTCAAGAGAACCAGACAGAGATGGTTGGAATAATGGTGAGTGCTTCTACTGGGGTGATGAACTCTCTCCTGGGTAAGCTAGCCACCCTGATGGGGGACGAGTTCGCCAAGCTAAAGAACTTGAGGAAGGAGGTTAAGTACATCAGCAATGAGCTCAGCAGCATGAAGGATGCTCTAGAGCGCCTTGCAGATGTGGATGAGCTCGATATACAGACTGCACGGTGGAGGGATGCGGTTAGGGAGATGTCTTACGACATCGAAGATATTATTGATGACTTCATGTGCAAAATTGGGGAGAAAAGCAAAAAATCTGGGTTTGTCCACGACACCATTCAACGCCTCAGAACTTCAAGGGCCCGCCATCAGATTGCTGGCCAGATTGAGGACATCAAGAAACTCGTGCATGAAACAAGTGCACGTCGTGAGAGGTATAAGGTCGATGTCCCCACATCGCACAATGTGGCTGTTGACCAACGGGTTGTCGCACTCTATGAGGATGCAGCTAAACTTGTTGGTCTGGAGGGTCCAACCAACGAGCTTGTCAGTTGGCTAAAAGATGAGGAGAAACAGTTGAAGGTTGTATCAATTGTTGGTTTCGGAGGTTTAGGTAAAACGACACTTGCCAAAGAGGTATACCGTAAGCTGAATGGGGAATTTCATTGCAGTGCATTTGTGTCAGTGTCTCAAAAGCCAAATATTCCAAAACTTCTGCATAGTTTATTAACCCAACTTGGGTGTGGACAATCTTTTCATGATTGTGATTTAAATGTTCTTCTCGACCAACTCAGAGAAAATCTGAAAAACAAGAGGTACTCATTCTTACTTTCTGCATTTTTGTTGTTCTCATGCATCTCCGGTACTTTGATTTTCTTAAAGATACGTAAGGTGTCTATCTCTGTTATTGGATTTTCAATTATTAACACACATTATGGAATTTATACATAATACTTTTTCCTTATTATAGAATACTGGAATTAATGTTTGTCTCATTTCACATCTCTGGAGTTTGGATTCATAATCTTATAACCGGAAACATCCTTTCACCGCCTACATGGTACATTAAGTTAGTTACAAGGACCAGCTTTATCTAAATTGAAAGAAGGAAATATTTATGAGTCAAATCTTTAGAGGAAATCATGATATGATCCTAATAAACAGGAATATAAAAATAAAGACTAAAGGCGAAAATGGGACTGTTGAGTTGTTTCATGATCTTCTTCGGAGTTCTATAAAAAGTTTGTGAAGTACTTTCAGTTTACACAAGATTTTGTACATATTGTATTCATCAACTAATAAACACCTATCTTATATGCTTTACTAACACAAGACAACTAATATTTAAATTTGATTAAATATTGTGGATTTGGTAGCATATGCCAGTGTATCTATTGCCACCAACATATATCTAGTGCCGCCAAAAAACAAACAATGGACAATAATAAGAGGCACTAGATACATAGTCATGAAGTCTTCTAGAAGCATATGTCCTTTATCTTTATTGTAAATATCAGGATTGTAAAAGACTATTGTCGCCTATGTAAATAAATCAAAACTATGGCTAGTGACCAAAGAAGATTCAAGTTATATATATTATAACATGGATTTACTAGTGATCACTTATAAGATTATTATTTTTAAACATGCATATCGTGTCCCCTTCTTTTATATTTTTTATACATAATTAACAGCATAAAATATTTTATAGTTTGGTATTCTTTTTTCAAACATGCTTTCACATTATTACCAAATTGCTTTTCTCTATTACATAGGATGTCCCATTTCACGTCTAGTGAATAGATTGAAAAGATGATCACAATGCACATATCTCTTAATCCTTTAGCATGTTACGTCATTTGCAAAGCATGGGCCTCGTGAGGATTTGAAAAATGATATGATTTACACACTTGATCATTCTACTCCCTCCGTCCCAAAATATAAGAACGTTTTTAACACTAGCATAGTGTCAAAAACGTTTTTATATTCTGGGACATATGGAGTAATAAATACAAAAATGGAAAAAATACTAGTATGGAGTTTTTTACTTGTTTAATTGGTTACTTGGGGTTGAGCATGAAAACATTTATATATAACAAGTTTATGAAGTACTTTGCAGTTTACACAAAATTTGTCTCAAATTGCATTTACTAACAAATACAAGCTAACTAATGTGGCTTATCCTATGATAAGTAATATTTGATTAAGTAAAGTATATTTGTACTATATGGGTCTAGAAAGTCAACTGCTCTGCCTTACTCATGGCTGTGACTAAACGTGCATGAATTGCAATATGAAAAGGATTAATGAAAAAAAACTAAAATGGCAGGAATTCATATAAGATAATTTTACACTGAACTATGGCCACAAGGTTATTGTTTCAAAAATACCACAAGGCTATGGTTCCGTAGCATGATGATCATGCCTTTGACTTCCAAGCCGCATGTTTGACATGCCAAACAAATTCTGGAAGTTGTTTGCTTGCTGCCGCACTTTAGCTTGCCGTATTACAAAAACAAACTACTATGATGCATATTTCAATACCGAAGTTGTGGCAGGCGATTCCCTCGCCACAACTACCGCAAGCCTCAAGTTAGCCTGGCGAGCTCAAGTCTCAATCCAAACACACCCTAATTTTTTTTTTCGAAATGGAGGTTAAAACCTCCGGCCTCTGCATCAATCGATGCATACAACCATCTTTATTAATTGTTAAAAAAAGGTCCGACAAGAACATACATCAAGCCACCCGAAGCCAGCACTCACACCTACAAACTCAATAATGTGGAGTGCTCTCACTCCCTATATCTAAAACCGGTGTCGTCGCTGATCCATCCGCATAATGTATCGGAACCTAGGTGCAGCAAACCTAAAGCGTACTCCGCATGCGCACGTTTTAGAAGCCACCAGGCACCATCATCATCGAACCGTTGACCCATCTTCAGGAAAGAGATCCGCATCATTCTTGCTAGTCTGGCCATCTGTCGACGCCACCATGGCGCCCAACGGCACCACCTGGTTGCGCGCAAACTGCTGAGTACGTCGCGGTCGCCACTGGTACACTGCAGCACCATGCCGCCAAGTACCACCAGACACAACTTGAATTCTCTGGAAGATCTGTCATGCGTAGCACCTGCCGAACAGGCGTGACACAACGTAGCACCTATCGGCCAGGCACGACTTGACATCTCCACTGAAGCTCCATGCAAGACGAAGACGCTCCACCTCATGCTGCTGTCTTCCAAAGCTGCTCCACAAATGATGCTCCCAAGAGAGAAACGACACCGCAGTGCCGCCATTGTCCGATCTGGAAGACCAGATCCTAGGGTTTCCCTCAAAGCAGCACGAGTGGGTCGACAGTAGTTGCACGAAGATGCTTTCATCAAGGTAATGGCGTAGAAGGCCGCCATCACCCGCTGTCGGCTCGGTTTTCTCCGGCAACTATGTCTCCCAGACTCGTAGCCGGGACTAGATGACGGATCTCGAGATCCGAACACCCAGCCTTAGGATGACCACATCCGACGGAGGAGATGACCAGCACCGTCAAGCCCTGGGTCGTCGCCCTAGGCGCCCGCGTGATGCAGATCAAGACCAGGAGTGCCACCGCGATCTGAAGCCGAACCGGATGTTGAGCGGCTGCAACATGGCCGCCGCCGCCACCTGCCGCTGCGGCTACAGTCCCGCCACCACACTCTAGCCATCATTGTCTACCATCACCGCCGAGGAGATCAAGATCGGAACCGCCGTAGCGATCTTGAGCAGTTGACGTGCAAGAACAAGGCCGCCGCCGCCGAGCTGCTCGGGCTTTACCCAGGTGTCGTCGCTGGCGGCGGCGGAGAGGAGAGTGGTGGCAGGGGGGGAGGTGGGAGGCGGGGACGCCTCAGTATGGCGCGGTGGCGTCGCACAGGAGCAGGGGTAGGGGGTAGGGTCGGGTGAGATGGCCACACCCTAAATATTTTGAGAGGCAAGTAAGATAGTTGTGCAATAGTTTTGGTCTAAGAACATAACTGCCTAAATGCCAAGCAAATTCACGAAAAAAGTTTGTTTCCATTCATCAGAGCACTGCAGAAAATAGTTTACATATATACGCACTAACTTTCAGATGGTTTGCCCTATATTTTTGAATTTTGAATTTTCATTAAGTTATCATAACATTTATGCAGCAGTTGCTCATGCGCGTTTTAATGCCATGACCCATGCACATATTTTTGATGTAAACCCCTCTTCCTTTCTCTTCTACTAACTTTGTCTACTGACTAAAAGAAGATGAACCCATATCTTTGTCAAGCAAAGACCATACAATTTCCTCCAAACCTTTCCTTGACAATGGATGGTCATCTATGAAATTTCTTGCACATGTGCATGTACAAGGATCTGAAACCACATATGATATTTAGCGAATACCTCACTGGTGCTATGAATCCCAAATGTTCAGGGAAAATCAAGATAAATATTTCTAACTGCTAACCCTCATGGTATAGCAATAATGGTACGGAATCCACAAGTGAGTATTTAGGAACAATCCATAGTTGCATGTAATTCATATCCATCCCTTTACCAACTTTGCTTATCATCATTCGACAAACAAAAGAAAAAGCAACATGAAGCGCGACCTTGTAGTCGGGATACAGGTGAATTGGCTTCGGAAGGCAGCAAGCTAGGCGCCCTATCGCCGGCAAGTTCAGCGTACGTCAGTTGGGGCCGGTTAGGGTGATGGCAAGCTAGCAGAAAGGGCTTTGGGGGCTAGGAGACCGCTGCGGAGGAGGCCGGTAAGCCGGAGTGATCAAAGGGCGCACTGGATGCGTGTGAGATGAAGGAAGTGGGGGTGTGGATGGATTGGGTTGGGGACTTGGGGGAAAGAACATCGAGTGCCACACAAGGAGAGGCAGAATAAAGAAGGAAAATGTGACACTTCGACTTTATAGCTATTTGCTTAGACAGTTAAACTATGCTTTTAAAACTAAAGGCCAGCTAAATTAATGGGTTATTATGTTTACCTTACAAAAAGTAATATTTAATTGGATAACATAATTTCCGTCTGACTTGAACCTTTTGAAATAATTTGGTAGTTTTTGTTAGTTTATTAGCATTGTATTGATTGTCTTGCAGGTACTACATAATCATCGATGATCTATGGGGTGTATCAGCATGGAATATTATTAAATGTACATTCCCAGAAAGTAATCTTGGTAGTAGATTAATAGTAACTACAAGGATCAAGACTGTGGCCGAGGCATGTTGTTTCGGTCACCACGAGCACATTCTTGAAATGAGACCTCTTAGTGAAGAAGACTCAAGGAAATTATTTTTTGGTAGGATATTTGGCTCTGAAGAAGCTTGTTCAGGTGAACTCAGAGATGTTTCAGTTGAGATTCTCAAGAAATGTGGTGGTTTGCCACTTGCAATCATTAGCATATCCAGCCTATTAGCAAGTGAAATTTCAGATCTGAAGGAGAGGTGGAAATATGTACAGAATTCTTTGTGGTCAGTGTCCGACACAAATCTCACCTTGGAAGCAATGAGACAGATTTTGAGCCTTAGCTACAAAAATCTTCCTCACCACCTCAAGACATGTTTCTTGTATCTTGGCATGTTTCCAGAGGACTATGAAATACGTATGACTCATTTGGTACGTCTGTGGATATCAGAAGGTTTCGTTAGTACAGCACGTGGACAAAGCCCAGAACAGACGGCGACAAGTTATTTCAATGAGCTTGTCAACAGGAGCCTTATTCAACCTGTAGTGATGGGCAGGGATGGGTCTGTGATATCTTGCAAAGTACATGATATGTTGTTGGATCTTATCTTGTACAAGTCTGCAGAGGAGAATTTTATCACTGTAGTAGACAACCCAGAGGCCACTAGAGGACTTCTTCAAAAGCCACGCCGGATGCTCATCAACTTGAATGGTGCAAGACTGCCAGGGGATGTTAGTATGTCACAACTGCGATCGTTTGCAATGTGGAGAGGCTCTATAAATATACCTTCTCTGGCAGAGTTCAAGTATCTTCGAGTTTTTGTTGCTGACTTCAGTTCAAGTTCTGCTGATGACAACCGAAAAATCGACCTGACAGGATTGTCTAAGTTATATCAGCTGCGACATATATGGATTCGTGGCTGTAATAACTGCCAGCTACCAACCCAAATTAGAGGGCTACAGATGTTGGAAACATTTGATATAAGTGGGTCCTGTATCCCAATGGATATTTTTCACCTGCCGCGCTTGTTGGCTCTGATTGTTCCAGGTGTTGAAAGGCTGCCTGCGGGCATTGGTAAAATGAAATCCCTACAACATCTGATTCGTTTTGACCTGCGGTACAACACCTCACTCGGCAGTATCAAGGGCCTAGGAGAGCTCACCAACCTGAGGACTCTATCTCTCATAACCGGGTTTTCTGAAGACATGTACATGGATGTTCTAAACGCTTCTTTGGCAAAACTTTCTAACCTCGTGACACTCCACATGTCATATAGTACCCGGGTCCCTAACTGGATTGGGGAACTCCATAACCTTCAGAACTTGTATCTCACTGTTGAGAAGCTGGACAAGGATGGTGTTGGTATTCTTGTGGAGTTACCAGCCCTCATCGGCCAGGATTTAAGAGTTGGTAGAGCCTTGGAAGAAACAATTGCCATCGATGGGGCAGCATTCCCAGTCCTACAGCGGTTTGATTTCATGGGGATGCCTGGAAGAAACCTGACCTTCCAAGCTGGGGCAATGCCTAAGCTCCAGATCCTCTATCTGCGGTTGATGGCCAAGGGGTGGAATCAGGACAAGAACGCCGCACCTACAGGTATCGAGCACTTGTTAGCACTTGAAAGAATCTATGTAGAAATCTCGACGGGTACTCGCACTGAACGGAGAAGCGCAGAGTCAGCCATTAGGAGCGCTACCAACATGCATCCCAGCCATGCTCACAATACAAGCTTTATCGAATGTGTTAATGTATACAGCCACGACGAGGAGCTGGTATGCTCAAATTTCCACCTCCAATCTCCAGACTCCAGTCTGTCTCTAATCTGTTTCCTGTTAACTACTGGGTGATGCCTGTCTGTTCGAGTTTAAGCTGTAGCTTGCCTAATACGTACTTTACTGTACCTTCTTTTTTGGGTTCTAGCAAGACTACCCGTATATGTATGCAGATTGAAAAAATGGAGATGCCTCATTTAACTCGAAAATTCAGAGCTCTATCGGCATTTCTTTGAACATTATTTGAGTAGTTATGATTCCCCTTCTGAACGGGCGTTAAACAATTTGAGCTGCATATAGCTTCAACTAAAGTAGTTCAATTTTATGTGTTGGCACTGTTCGATTAAGTCAGCAAACTAGTAATTTCGGGAGTTCAACCATTCTCATAGATACTGATTTTCAGGAAAGATTCTTTTCTATGGAGCAAGAAGATGAGGCTTTACCCACCAAGGAACATTGAGGCGTCTCCAACATTTATGCTCTGGATTGTAGCGGATGGAGATGGATTACTGCATTTCCTCGTCCAACTGTTTGTTTGTCCTTTTATCTCTAAGATGATGCATGATCACGTAGGCTTTGCTTGGGTTTCTCCTGTATTGTAATAAGGCTTGATGGTGGGCAGGAGTTGGCACTTGTTACTTGCTCCTCCCTCGACTAGCCAGCCAGGGATTATATGCACTTGTTATTGTTGCGTGTGTAGGTTGGTTTCTTGCATCTGCTCCTTATTTGCATGTTTCAAAAGGACAAATGAGATGTTGTATTTGCTGCTCCTATGCAAGTTTGTGTTGGATCGCTAGATGTTGTATCAATAGGTTCTTTTCCTTTCGAAATGGATGCCACTGTATATATTGTCAGTAGCAGGGCATGGGAAAGTTTCTGAATATGTTGTGTACAGGGGCTTGGATAAATCATTTTCAACTCCGCTAGTAGCTTCTCAGGGTCCGTATGGGCCGTCCAATTGATGAGCAGCAAAATGGCCAGACACGCCCCAATTGTATAATAGTGAAAAAAGCCGGGTTCCATTAACCTGTCGATACAAGTAAGCCCAATCTATCATCGATCTCACAAGATCGCGTTTTTTTTTCTTTCTTTCGGAATCCCGGCGAAAATAAGCACCCTGTTAAGTGGGACAAGGAGTTGCAGAAGTATTTGGACATCGGCTCAGGAGATATCCGCTAGTGAACGATTCATACAATACATTGTTTCTTCTAGCTAGACCTCCAATTGTCTTTGCAGTTCACTGGTTCAACCAAGCTCAGAGGTTCAGTGGTTTAGGAACGGTCAGCACCTAAAAGTTCAGAGATTGGAATACACTTGAAATGCTGTAATCGGGGGGAATAACGTATGTGTAACGCGCACGCGCGCGCACACACACACATCATAGCTTCTGACACTGGCATCGGCATTGAACAAGCGAATACATCAGACCCAAGCATCACTTTCGAATACATCGGATCCACACATCACCTTCTCTTCCTAGACCACAACACGCTCAGAGGAACCAACTCTTCTTCCTAGACCACATGGCACCAGCACCTGTTGATAGAAGAAACATCTTGAGCTTACCATATGAACAGGGCACCGATAGGAATATGTACAAGCCTACCAAGTAGGCACGCACAACAAGCATCAAATATATCGATTGCTGAATCCGATGCATCAAGTTGACGCTGGGTATTTGCAAGGAGCTGACTATCACATTGGCCACTAACAGTAAATTACATGAAAAGAAAGAACATGCTAACCAGAGAATAAGACTTCAAATATGTACTCTGCACCCATCCTGCTGAGCACATGGCACCAGGCCACAAGCTGAAATTTCTCTATGCGCATATGTAAGCAACCTTAGAGTTCATACGATAAGAATGCGCTACACTGACTGATTTATTCAAGAAGGAAACAAGGCCATGGGCTCATTGCAGATGTAAGAGATGGTGGGCTTGATAAGCAGATGCAGAGGACACAATAATGTGGCTAAAAGGGGTGTAGATGAAGAAATGATATGATACAACAACATAAGGAACCTGATTAAATACATTATGGCCAGGGAAACAAAAGCATAAAGTGACCTCCTTCCTGTTTAGCAGTTGTTTAGCAGTTCAACAGCAGACAATCAACAAACAACCCAAAATAAACAGTTCCACTAAATTGACTTGCGGCAATCCATATTCATATGTGGAGCTACTAGGCGAACTATCAGTGTTTTATACTACTGATTTCTGGAGTAAACTGTAGTGGATTGTAATCACATAAAATAAACTGTCAAAGCTAACTCATTTCTTTCCAAAGTGCTGCTCTGAGCTGTTGTAATTTGATAATTTCTACTCATAGGCAGGTTACATATAAAAATAAAGAAACTGGAAATAATCTAATGATGTGAACAACTATTCATATATAGTTCAAATTACAAGGCCAAGGGCAGCTCTGGAGAACTAGAATATTGCAACAAAGAGGCTTCACAAGATAATAAACGAATATTAATAGTTTTCCTTAGTCTAATGAGTTTCCAACTGCACAATAAATTATGCATTAGATTATCACGTAGATGCCACCAACAATAGTTAACCTGTAAAAGAGCTACGCTCGCAAGAAATAAGCAGAATGGAAAAGAAAATTATCATCAAATAAATAGTTGAATCGTTTTTTTTTTGTTGTTGTATAAAACTGAGATCAAGTTAAATAAAAGTAAGCAGACAAGATGCTCACCGCTTCATATAGTTGGCACAGACAATGATGGTGGAAAACCAACATATAGTCGATCAGGTAAGGGGGCTTCAGTAAGCTCCGCGAACAACTCGATCTGCAATGTCTTGACGTCCACGGAAAGTAATTCAAAACTTGAGCTTCTCATGTGAAGATGTGGTGTGCAGCACTACCATGAGCAGGTATCCCCCGCCTACACCAACCAGAGTAGCCTTTACCGGCAACGGGATGAACTTCTCCAAGTGCCATTGGTTATTCCTCAGAGAAGAATACTTCATCAAATATGTGTCATCTTCGCTGTCCTGGTCTTGGACTTTACTGAGCATTCCGAGCATTCCTTGTGGCGCCTCGACAATGACAAAACTGCTACTCCATCCTAGTTCAGGTGGAAGGTCGACAGCAGAGAAGTCCATGGTGCGTGGATCAAGCAGAACCAACTTGTTCAGGAAGAGCAAACGCCAACAGAAGCATCCGTGGACAAACTGACGATCAAACAGCCCATCCTCAGCTGGCGGCCGATCAAACGCAGCCTGAGGAGCACTCCATTGGTAAAATGCAAGAGAACGCCACTGCCCATCCAAAGAGGAGAAGACAAACAGCATATTCATTCTGCATTGCACCAAGCACATGACCCTGAATGATAAAGGGTCCTCCTCATCATCGCCCGGAGCAAGGAAAGTCTCCAGATCGCGGAGTTCCCGTTCATGGACCAGCGCTTTCAGGTCGGCCGGGACGGCAGGCAGCAGGATGTAGCGGCGGTGCACGGGGTCGCACACGGCGAGGTCCCTGACCAAAAAATTGTGGTACTGGAAGCGGCGCACACCAAGGACGCCGCTTTCTTCTTCGACTGGGGCGCCGGCGAGGAGGGCGCGTCCGTCCAATTAGTCAATTGGCCTCCAGGTACGGCCGGCGGTGGAGGGGAGGAAGGAGGAGCAGGAGAAGTCGAAGCCGGTGAAGGCGCGGGCGGCGACGGCGGAGGGGTGCGGTGGCTTGGCCGGGATGAAGGTACCGTCGCCGACCGCTCCGATGAGAGGCGGCGGGTGGAGGGCATGGTAGCGGCGGAGGAAGGCGTGGTCGGTGATGAGACGGCGGAAGGAGGGGCACACCGCGGAGGCGCGGGCTAGGTCAACAGCACTGGGGAGACGGAGGAAGATGTCGTGAAGGAGCGCGTCTGGGGTTCGGAAGATCGGCGTCTCCGGCGGTGGTGCTGGCTGCGGCGGCGCCATCGGGGAAGTGGGGATCTACTATTTTTTTTCTTTTTGATGAAGGGTGGGGATCTACTTTTTTTTTTGAGACAAAAGAGTGGGGATCTACTGACAGAATGGGCATCTCTTATGTGGCTTCTTCGATGGGCTTGCTGAGGGTTGGGCCTCCTAAATGTTCGTTTTTATGGCCTTTCCATTTATTCATCTAGATAGCCTGAAAATTTTGTATTCATTTAGAGCCTGATGAACAACCTGCTGCATTATTTGGAAAAATATGTTAGTCACCCTCAAATATTCATGTTAGTCGAACGGTGGCTCATATTCTTCGGCGTTTGGTACAACCGTGTTTTGGCGTGACCCTTTCGGTAAATACACAAAGTTTGCGTATTATTCCATTGAGAGAAGAAGTTCAGAGTGAGTACAAGAGGTGGTACGACACATGACATGAACGCAGAAGGCGTGAACATGATGCCCGGAGCAAAGAGACAACAGATGCTCGGCCCAAGCAGAGAAACACCATAACACAACTCGTCAGGAAGCCACTCGGACCAAAACAAACCATGACAACCAATATTTCCAAAACGACTGTCGAGGACGCCGCGAGCAGATCTCCTTCACGAAGGAGAACGACGTCGAGACATCGTCGCCTCCCGATCCGAAAAACCAGACCTAGGGTTTTCCCTGATGCTCAAAGAGGGGCACAAATAACGGCCATGGAAACGCCTCCAAGAAGGGGACCCCCGTGGGTGTCGATGCTGCCAGCATCGAGTCAATCAAGGAATTCACCCTGGCCAAAGTCTGAGCAATGCCAAGTCGTCGGAGCCAGAATCGAAGATGGAGATATCAGGTCGCAGGCCAGAACCACCACCATAGGAAGGGGAGCTACGCCTGTTGTCGAAGAGGCACCGGACGCCGCTGGAGGTGAGAGCTACAGATCAGGCAGAAGGGCGCACGGGGCACCAAGGTGGGCGAGGTTGGAGGACCGAGCAAAAGGAAAGAGGCGGCAAGAGGTGGCGCGAAGGTGGCCAGACACCCGGACAAGCAAAGATCCGGAAAGGGGAGCAGATCTGGGCTGCTGGGACCGGAGCCGCATGGACGTCGGTGAACCGAAACTACTTTGGAGGTCTGAAAAGTTGCATATTAGCTATGGAGCCGTACCGAGCTCGGCTAAAGAGGTGATCCATCACATTTTTCTTTGGTGGCTATTGTGATGGTGCCGGAAGCAGGTGACGGATGTTGG